TGGATAAAATGTGGAAAGTCATTCAATGGACAATAAGTTGGTGTGTTATGTGTTCTTTGGGATTTTAAACATGTTTATGTTTTTTAGATTTATTTAAGCATAGAAACCAAAGGTGAAAGAAAAAGGGAGGAAGAGACACACTTCGACTGGGGGCAGATGCCAACCAACTGCTGGCTGGATGGCATAGAGCCCAGGGAGTGGCAGGGGACCTGGTCTGACCTGATGACCATGGGTACATCAGCACCCCTTCATGAGATGAGGGCTTTGGCCATTGAGCAGAGTCACTGCCACGTGCCAGGCATCGAGGACAAATGAGGACTAAAAGCAGAGCTGCGTCAGACATGTCCAGATGACAAAGTCTCCCAGACGGGATCTCGTGACCCTGGTGGGCAGGGAGAGCAAAGGTTCAGCTGCCTCCCAGGTGAGGAAACTGGGCAGAAGCATCTGAGGGGAACCCCATCGAGCTCTGCTGGAGGAGGCTGAGTTTATGGAAGCTCAGGTCATCGGGGCCAAGGAATCTGTTTTTTACAGGATCACAGGAAGGTATGGCAGGGCAGGGAGGACTCTGGACATGCACTTGGGCCTGAAGCCAAAGTGGGGGGATGGCCTTCAGCAGAAGGCCCCTTACGACACATGCCAACTCGTGGCCCTGTCCCCCACTCAGTTCTCTCAAAACCCTTGAAAGAAATAGTCACACCCATTTTACAGATAAAAAGGCAGAAGTGGTTAGCAACTTATCCACGATCACAGGTAAGGACCCTGGAATGAGGGGGCTGTGTCCCCACCGTCCCCAAACTCATGATGGATAATTGGGTCTTGATATCAGGTTTAAGGTGAGGGCCTTTCCAAACCACTGTAGGGGGAAGGCAGCATTCCCCTAGTGGCCCCTGCCCCTGGCAGCCACAGCAGCTCCCTGGCTCTCATGGGAAGGTGGTAATTGTGCCCATTTTACCAACAAGAAACTAAGGCTTAGAGGAATGATGTAGCTTGCCCAGGGTCACAGGTCCCAGGCCCTGTCTGACCCTATGCCTGTGTGGCTCTCCTAGCCACACTGGTGTCTCCAGCCACCACTTGGCTGACTTTAATTGGAACAGCTTTGCCTTCCCTGCCTTCAAGGACACAGGGGACAATCCCCAGGAAGGTTCCTTTGCGGTAACTCGTGCCTCAGATGCCATTCCCTGATGACAGGAGCTGCCAGTCCTGCCTCAGGACACTCATGGCTGAAAGTGAACAAAGCAGCAGGCTTGAGTCTGCCCATGGTCAGGGTCCAGGATGGAGCTGTGAAGGTCCTTCACTGCCACCAGCACATATCCCCCTTCCTCAGCAAGAGCCCCTGGGTTTGCCTTCCGGCTGTCAGTCCTTCTGCTGATCACTGCAGGGGTGGAGCACGTGGCTCAGGCCTGGCCAATCAGAGCAGCGGATTCCCCTAGCCACAGACATTGGTTCAGAGCCAATAAGAAACAATAGTAAAGCTACAAAAGACACATACACAATAAGGCCTTTACTGTGGTTACTCTTCCTACTGGATTTACTGGAGCTGCTGTGGCTGCACTGCCACCACGAGGGATAAGCCACTTGAAAATAAGGACAACACAGAGAGGCAGCGGGCTTAAGAAAAATAAATTAAGTGCTGATTGCATCATTTGAGCTCCTAGATCCAGCCATACCTGACACCAGCTGTCTTTTTTAGTTTTATGATCCCATTAATCCCCTTTTTGTTTATACCAATTTTGGTTGCAAGCAACAGAAAACTCAGCCTAGACTTCTGACTGACACAGTGGCTCTGGAGAAAGAAATACCATGCACAGGGTGGACTGCCAGCTCTGTGGGACCGCAGACCACACATTGCCTTCCCTTTAGCTTGACCCTGTTCCAGTGTCTATTTCCACCCATGTCACTTTGCTTGGTCTCCTCTGACTGTGTGGACTCCCTTTATTGCTCTTAGGTAGCCAACAAACAAACTTCCTTTCAAAGATGATTCTGCAGAAAAAAAATTAGTAATAAAAATAAATGTAAGAAATGAGTGACCCCAAAAGCGATGGCGAGATGAAGGTGTCCAAGATACCCTCTGAATCCAGCTGGCCTGGGAAGAACTGCTGGGACCTTGGAGCAGCCACTGAGGAGCAGTCTTCCCAGGAAAGGCATAACCCCAAATAAATACAAACCATTCACGCATTGCTTTTCTATCTCTGCCCCAGTCTCATTCTTCTGCCTCAGCTCAGCCTTCCTTAATGACCCAAATTAGACCTACTAGGTATTAAAACTAGAGAACAGTGTCTGGAAGCCAGGAAGCGGGAATCAGGGTGTCAGGGAAGTGGAGGAGATGCGGGGGCGCAGGGTACCAGCCTCTGCTGACCTCTGCCCGGGGCCTGGGGCTGGACAACAGCCCAGCCTCAGGAAGGGGGCCCAGGCTCTGGCCACACAGCGCCGGCCACAGCGCCTTTAAATAGAACCTCCACGCGGGAGGACAAACACATTCCAAGCGCTTTTAAAAACGCCCCAGGCATGACCTGGCCAGCGGCCTCCGCTCCCCCAGGCGTTTTTCCGGTCTTGGCCCAATTCTGGAAATAATATTAATAGCTCGGTTAGGAGCTTACAGTGTGCAAAATACTTTATGGCCTTAAAAGGCAGGGACAATTACTTCCCCCACTCTGCAGATGAGGAAACTGAGGCCCAGGGAGCTCCCAGGCTCCAAGGACAACTTGGAGGCTCATTAAGCTGCCTCCACCGTCCGGAGTTGGGACTCGCTAGCAGCTCCCCCGCCCGGTGGGGCTGACAAGGCAGGACAGGGATGAGCCACCGCGGGACCAGCCACCAGTTGCCACGTCCGGTTCCTATGGGCACCTCCTGCCCGAAAGGCAAGAAGGGGAAAAACAGACAAGGCGACACCCCCGGGAGGCCCCTCAAACGCGCCCGTTCCAGGAAAGTACTGATCTTACAAAGAGTTTAACTCCCTGTTCTCAGTCTGTTGGTACATCAAACCCCGCGCGGCAGCCAAGGATAAGTTTTCTCTTTTGTTTTAAAAGATAAAAGGACAACGAGGCTAATTTTTCCCTCGGGAGATAAAGTTAAAGCTGGCAGGTGAGGCGCTCGGCGTCTCCGTTTCCTAGAAGTCGCGCCCTGGACCAACCTCGGAGCCAGGCGGCGGAGGGGGCGGGACCTGCCGTTGGGACCCGGGAACCCGGGAATCGGGGTCCCCTGACGGAGGGGAACCTCCAACCTGGGTCAGGGAGAGCTGTGGCTCCTGCTCGTGGTGTGCCAGCCCCACTGGATCCCTCCACCGCTCCGGGATCGCTCGGGGCGCGCGGGATCTGGGGGCGTTGGGTTAAGTGCTAAAGGCACCCCCGGAACCCCTGCACTATCCCATCCCGTCCCACCCAAGCGGGGTCCGGGACTCCCAGTCAGAAAGATCGACCCACCGCCCCCTCCTCCTTCCTCCCGGGCTCAGGGACCTCGGGGGCGCACGGCGCAGAGCGGCGCAGGGCGCTCACAGTCTGAACATGCTCTCCAGGTCCTTGATGAGGCGGCGGCTGAACTCCGGGAACTCGGAGTAGGGGTGGAAGACCTTGCAGCGGCGGGGCCGCGCCGCGCCCTCGTTGATGTCCAACCGTCGGTTCAGCTGCGCGCTCAACTCGGCGTCGGCTCTGGCGGTGGGCACCCGGGCAAGTGGCTGCGGCTGGGACTCGGGGACGGAGGCGGCGCGGGGCGCAGGCTGGACACCGCCGTCCTCCGCCTCCTCCCACTGCAGTCGCCGCTGCAGCTTGCTTGCGAGCC